GTCTATTTAACAAGTAAATAACAGTAATATACCATAATGAATTCCTGGGTGTCATGAAAACCCTTTAATTATTTACATTCAAGCACTAATAATACCACAATATACCCATTGTGATTTTAGGTTCATTTAGGTTTTGAATACATATTAAAATGGCACAGACTTGCAGTCTTAAATAAAAATTTAACCTTCACGTTCATGAAGTCCATATTATAAAGAAATAGATAACAGAGAGATATACAGCATAATTGTGCAGCAGAAGGAAAATAATGCAGGTAAAAAATGTTAAAAAAAAGAACAAAAAAAGGGAATATGATACATTTTGCAATGCACCATAGAACAGTGAACTGTTCCAAACCATGAGGCAGTTTTTTTGTTTTTCATTTGAATCACAGCCAGAGTTATGGGAAACAGCACACTCAGTCACCTGATCTTTGATGTCCTCTACTGCAGCTGCAACATGGCAGCAGTAATAGAAAACTGTAAAAGGCTTGTACGTGATGACAGAGTAATATCAGCTGATTTAAACTGTGGCAGACCTTGTAGACTTATCCAGTCATAATAGCTGAGACAAATGCAGGTGTAGGAGCCAATAGACTGAGGTCAATAATCTTTGTTTATTGCCTTCATTACAAGAAAACTGAAATTGTTAATAAAATCGATCCCTTTGCATGTGAGTAAAAGAGCTCAGAATGTAAGGCTCCCTGCTTTCTTTGGATTCAATTACCTTGCTAAATTTGCAGGATAACAGTCACCCAGATATTGATTGTAAGCGGTGTGGGATTTTGAACTATTTTTTTTCTTTTAGCTGCGGTATATGACAACATAAGGGAGAGGCACAGAGTGGGAGACCAGCTGCAAAGAGGCAAACAGAATTACTATGTGGGATTCATTTCAATGGAACTAATATTAGCAGTTATACTGTTGGGCAAATGTGCTTGTACAGCGTCTCTGCACACAAAACACACACGAACAGAGTAATTTGAAGTCCTTCCCAGAGACCAACGGCTGCATGCAATGCTGTGGAGAGGCGTGACCAGGATGAGACTAGCCTCCCACAAATGACCTTGAATACAAATGGGGCTGACAAATGGTTCAGGGGGGAGTTAGATCAGGACTACCCAGGTCTGGATAATTATCAGGTAACTAAGTTTGCACAAATCATTCACCAAAGCCACAAAGGCCAGTGATTGAAGTCACTACAGCCAGGTTGACTGCTAATTAACATGGAGTGGTACAGCTGGTTGATGCGAGAAGCTTAAAATCAAATGGGTAGGAGGGCATCTGTAACACTTTCACAGCTACAGTGCCTTGTTAAAGTATATAAATTGAACATTTTTACACATTTAATCTCAAAATAAGTATAAACTTAGGGGTACATTAGGGGAATCTTACCAAATGGAACAGCAGAAAGTGGTGCAGGATTGTTATGTAGAAAAGATACGTGGTCTTCAAAGTTTTTCAAAAATAAATCAGAGTGCACCATGCATTTGAATTGGAATATCTATAAAACTAGAATAACCATACGTCCATCTATCCTTTATTTATAATTATGCCATTTTAAAATTTTGATGGTCTAGGTTTTTTAACCTATCTAGAAGTAGACCTCTAACCCTATTTTTTGTCTTTTGGAGCGTAAAACATGTGTCTTTGCTTTACATTTAACTCCCTCCATGTTGCAATAAGCTCTAACCAGCATCCATGTCCCTGCTGAGGATAAGGATGTCGAAAGCATGATTCTAATGCTACCTAGATCATGTGTTAAGGTGGGTTTATGGAGTAACGTTTAAAACCCTAGAAAGAGTTTTATTTGTAAAAGGAAAAACATTTAAATTTCATGGTTGCTGTTTGTAAAATGTGGAAAAGTTTAAGAGTACTTACTTTTCAAAACTGTGCAACATATATATGTGGCTTTAGATATATTGTCCACCAGCCTGGATAAAGCTTTTCAATTAGCTCTCCATTCAATTTCTGTACCCGCTTCATAATGTTTAGGGTCTTAGGTTAACTGTTGGAGTCCATTACAGCTTTAGTCTTTTTGCAAAAGGCTGGATACAACATAGACCAAACATGCACACAGAAACAGGGGCAATTTAGTTCCCAATTAACCTCATATGTCTTTTTTAGACTGATGGAGGAAGTTGGAGCACACACAGAAGATTCACCATGAACAAAATATGCAGACTCCCCCTATAGAAGAGCTCAGTTATTAAATGAGGCAGCCGCTTTTTACCTGGATGAAACAACAGCGCCAACTACTGGATCAATCTTACAGCCAACTTTTCAATAATGCTCTCCAAACACAAAGCAGATTTGCAACATTTCATTTCCAGCATGCCAAAGCACCAGTGCATCCACAGAACCATTTTCATCAAATCATTTTAATGGAATTTATTTTAAATACCCATCTTTATGTACTTATCGATAAAGCAAAAGAGGGTAAAATAAACACAAATAAAATAGTAATCTCTCTAAGCAAACAGAACAAAGCCTTTCTTTTCCCAGGGGTTTAATGTGTCCATTGTCTCAGGTAAGGAGTTTCTCTGCAGACTGTTTGCCAGTCTTTGTTTGGTCACACTGCCATCTTCTGGTTCAGAAATGATTCAGCCTATGCAAAGAACGAGCCTCACACAGAACTGTGTGTATGTGGTTCATAACATTTGCACCACTGCTTAATCAAGCAGTTAATAAGCAATAAGACTTGAGGCTATTGGTGTGAGTGTTTCTGTCAAAACTCATGAGACAGAGGGAGCCCTCAGTATAAATATTTATGCCTGCCAAACAGATCAATGGCAATTAAAAAGGTCAAGGGCAGATGATGATGAATGTTGGTTGTATGTATTGATGAAATTTGACCACAATAATGACTTACAAATGACAAACTTACACACAAGCTTCAGACAGAAAAGAAAATCAAAGGGATTAATTCATTGATCACGCTTAATCCGTCATAATTAATTCCATAGGAACAACTGTGATGAGAGCAAGTCTCCATTAAATAGATAAATTATTCAACAGGAGGATGTGGTGGACCCAAGACAAATGAGCTTGGGGCACTGCAGCAATGGCAGTCACGGACAGAAGCTAATTACAACCTTTTCATGGAAACAGAGTTTTATCTTATAGTTGTACAGAAAGACTAACAGGATATTTGAAAACAGAAAAAGGGTTTTCTTCATGACCTTCAATGATCACTTGCTACTTCATGTCAAAACTGCAATGTTTATTATGTAAGGACTTGTCCTATCCATTGATCAGATCGCATCTGTATGGTTTGCTTTAATTCAAATAAATCTGGTTTATTTATATAGCCCCAATTCACAACACATGTCACCTCAAGGATCTTAAGAGACACAATTCAACCAGATCATACAGTCATATTGATTTCAAGTTTTTTGTCTAAGGAAAACCCCCTCATTGCATGGAATCATACACCTGACAGATATCCCTCACACCTAGAATGCTTGTAGCAACAGTGAAGAGGAAAAAATCCCTTTTAACAGGAAGAAACCTCCAGTTTAACCAGACTCATTGTGAGGAGCCATCTGCCGAAGATGACTGGGGTTCAAGGAGACAGAAAAGAAGAATAGATACAAAATACAACTGTCAACCAGCTCCACAGGTCCCCATCCAGGAAACACAAAGCCAGGCAGATGAGTTCAGAGCCAGCCCCCAAATCAAAGGATGAAAGAGGGCACATACAGTTAGTCACAGCAGGAAAAACAGGACTACACTGAAAAACAGGCCAAGCTCCAACATTTATAAACAAAGGTGTTGATGGCAGCAGCACAGCTGATATTTATCTCCAGGATGGTGTCACGGTCAAACAGAAACATACCAGATGAAACTACTATGAAAAAGCAGACAGAGCATAGCATTAGAGATTGAACAAATTCTGCAGAATGGGAGAGTAGAGCTAGAATGATGAAAAGGGGTGCCTATGTCCTCCAGCAGTCTAAACCCATAGCAGCATAACTATAGAGATAGCTCAGGATAATCTGAGCCCCTCGAACTACAGGCTTTATCAAAAAGGAACATTTTAAGCCTACACTTAAAAGTAGACAGGGTGTCTGCCTCACGGACTAAAACTGGTAGATGGTTCCACAGGAGAGGAGCCTGATAACTAAAAGATCTGCCTCCCATTCTACTTTTAGAAATTCTAGGAACCACTAATAAGCTATGGTTCAAGCAAAAGAAACCATAGTATAACATAAATGTATCATTATAGCAGGGAACAGTCTGTGGATTAGCTGCTTTCAGGATGTACAGGTGTTTTAATAGTAGCCTTTATCTCTCTATACAATATTCAGTAGTTGCTTTCAGCAGCGTCAGCAGGTAGAATTGAAATCAGTATCTTCATAAAGCTTTTCAGCAGAGGGAAACAAGGGGGGTGTTCTTTAGACTTCATAATCCAGTTAACCAACTCAGCAGATGACATGGCTTCCCTAATCATCACAGATGGTGCAAACATCACACTGGACTTCTAGCAGCTTGGATTGACCTCAATATCCAAATTAAAATGCCACATGTTTTTAATCTCAAGATTTTCAGCCTGCCAAGAAATATTTTGCTCTTTCTCTTTAGCCCAGAAATATACCCCCGGATGCTCTCTTCGTTTCAGAAGTGGCTTAACATAAGTGATAAAATAGTTGCTGCCATTTTCCCTGGTTTGTCAGTGCAACTCCACCCAATTCCTGCCAAGTTTATTTTTAACGACTTATTTTCTTTTCTGCCATAACCATTTCCTTCCACTCACCTTTCTATGGAAATCATTGAGTTCTAGCTGAGAACAACCAGCTTTTAAGTAATGTCAAGTTTTCCCTTCTTGTGAAGGATGTTAACGACTGTCTTCTGGACAACCGTCAGGTTGTCAGGTCAATCTCCTACACCATTATTCAGGTTGTAACATTTCTATATATAAAACCAATTAGAGGAAAAACTATAGCTTCAAATATAATATAAGATGTAGAAACTTGTGATTAATTAGACCTCTCTGCCAGTAATATTATCCAGGAAGATTTATTTTCATTTCTTTAACATCATGTACAGGTGGATGTAGGCACAGGGTAAGACACACAGTGTTGGGCTCTGATATTGGATTTTTTTTTTTTAAAGTTCTGTTTCATGCCTCTGAAATATAAAATGTCCCTAATCAGGCAATCACTTTACACTCCTAAATATTAGGAAATTTACAAGGAAAACTGACTCAGAAGTAATGCTTCTATAAGCTTTTCACCCTTTCCATCACATCAAAATCATTTTATCTCCTAAATCAAATTAGTTTCATGATATCATTTTTTTCTGCAATGCATGTTGGGGATTTGAAGAAGATGAAGCTTACAAGAGGGCATTGATCTTTCCCATGAGCGATACAGAAAAGCACTGCTATATACATGCAGTTAGAGAACTATAAGCAACATTTCAATATGGACACATGGGATGGAAAAATAGGAATAGCTTGAAATGTTTGCAGAAATTACTTCAATCTAAGAAATTATACAGCATTCTGGATTGGCTTTGAGATAATATTCTGCTTGTAAACATCGGTCCAGTCCTCCGGTAATAGCTGTTTTCATCCCGAATTGAGTGGAGTACTAAAAGAAGGTTTCTCTGCAGAGCGGGCAGGTGGACTTGTTGCTGGAGGTGAACCATTTGTACTACAGAAAAAGAAAGAAAGAAATATTAACACCAGCTCTAATCGGGTGATTAAATTACATTAATACTCTCATATCAAATCTGCCTCACCAAACAGGCAGAGTGGAACTTCTTCTTGCAGGTACGGCAAGCCTTCTTAGGCAGGGAGTAGTTGGAGCCGTGGATGACAGAAAAGCAGATCATGCAGTCCTCGATGCCCTCAAAGCGCTTATCGACGTTGTTCTTCCACAGAGCCAGGCCCTCCATTATACTGCCATTCTAACCACAGAAACAATTCTGCTTTCAACCACTAATCTCAGAAAAACAAAACACAAGGCACCTTAAAAACACCTGAGTGTTTAGTGCCTGAAGCGGATGTATTGATTGTTTTTCTACCTGATGTGTGAGGTAGGTGCTCAGCTGTAGCATCCAGTTCCTCCACTGCTGCACGGCTACGCCCACACGTCTCCCACTTTCCACAGCGATGGAGCCCAGAGGGTAGTTCTGCGGCAGCTGAATCACCAACTCGATGTAGATGTCGTCCACAGAGTAGGTAGCGATCACCTCTCGTGCTGCTGAGCGGGCCTTGACCTGAGGCAAAAGGATTAAAAAAGGCCTCGAACAGATCAGATCATCAGGGAGCGATAATACAGTTAAAAACCCAGATCAAAATTAATGAACCGAGGGCTTTTTACACAAATGAGAGTTCATTAAATTTAATTGGACAAAAAATATTGAGAGCTTTTTCTTAAAAAAAAGCAATGTTGCATCAGAAACTTTGCTTCAGTTTAAAGTTAATAAAAAACGAAGAAATGAGTGGGGAGTGATGGAAAATGGACGACTTTCAGCTTAAGCTTCTGATTAGCGTTTGGGAATGTTTCATCTTTTTTCAATTTGCGAATGCATTACCAAAGCAAGCAGATGATATGATATGAATATGTGGACAATAATACAACTCAAAGTGAACATGTTAAGCGTTGGTGATAAAGACAGAGGAAGTGTTGGGATTTTAGAAGTCACTTTGAAGAGTATATCTGCTGTTATTTCAAGTTGTGAATAAAACTCAGCAGAAAAAGAACAAAGAGAAATGAAAGGCTGAATAAGAAAAATAAAATGCTTTTATCTTATACCTCATATCAGCTGTATACCCACTTTATCTTTTTGAAGGATCTCTAACAAACACTTTCTGAGGTCACCTTTGTTCCTAAAACAATCATCAAAAGCTCATGGAAGGCTTTTTAACACAGACACTGTACACACAGGCTGTAGGACGTCTAGAAAAGTTATTCTAATGCTGTTTTTTTCTGGCATCACAGCTCTTAAAGTGCAATCTGCATCGGCTAACATGCATCAGCAGAGTTTAACAAAATAAGGAGGTAAGAAATTGGTGACAAAATCCTGCTGGTTTCATTAGATGACTTAATGCTGTCAAGGGATCAAACTGTTTATTCTAGGAAAATAAAAAAGCTGCTTTAAAGTGCCGTGTTAATTAACATCTAATGTTAACTCTACTACATTTTATAGCAGTAGGGTAAAATGCTTGTCTTTGTTCAAAAGACTGTATTAACTGTAAAGACTGTCTTTTACATCAGCCTGTTTTCAGGGCCTTTTTTTTTGGCTACATATTTGTTATTTTTTACTACATGCGTCCCCATCTTCTTGCCATATGTTTCTATGGCATAAATCAGTGTCTGTGACCTGTTCTCATTAAAAAAAAAGAACATTGGCACAAACCTAGCCTGTATGTATTTTTTTGTATGTCATCGAGAGTATTTAAATGATTTTCAATCAGGAAAAAAATGTGCGATCAAAATGCCATTAATCGCGATTAAAAAAATGTAATCGATTGACAGCACTAATATATATATATATATATATATATATATATATATACACTCACCGGCCACTTTATTAGGTACACCTGTCCAACTGCTGGTTAACACTTAATTTCGAAGCAGCCAATCACATGGCGGCAACTCAGTGCATTTAGGCATGTAGACATGGTCAAGACAATCTCCTGCAGTTCAAACCGAGCATCAGTATGGGGAAGAAAGGTGATTTGAGTGACTTTGAATGTGGCATGATTGTTGGTGCCAGAAGGGCTGGTCTGAGTATTTCAGAAACTGCTGATCTACTGGGATTTTCACGCACAACCATATCTAGGGTTTACAGAGAATGGTCTGAAAAAGAAAAAACATCCAGTGAGCGGCAGTTCTGTGGGCGGAAATGCCTTATTGATGCCAGAGGTCAGAGGAGAATGGATAGACTGGTTCGAGCTGATAGAAGGGCAACAGTGACTCAAATAACCACCCGTTACAACCAAGGTGGGCAGAAGAGCATCTCTGAACGCACAGTACGTCGAACTTTGAGGCAGATGGGCTACAGCAGCAGAAGACCACACCGGGTGCCACTCCTTTCAGCTAAGAACAGGAAACTGAGGCTACAATTTGCACAAGCTCATCGAAATTGGACAATAGAAGATTGGAAAAACGTTGCCTGGTCTGATGAGTCTCGATTTCTGCTGCGACATTCGGATGGTAGGGTCAGAATTTGGCGTCTACAACATGAAAGCATGGATCCATCCTGCCTTGTATCAACGGTTCAGGCTGGTAGTGGTGGTTTCATGGTGTGGGGAATATTTTCTTGGCACTCTTTGGGCCCCTTGGAACCAATTGAGCATGGTTGCAACGCCACAGCCTACCTGAGTATTGTTGCTGACCATGTCCATCCCTTTATGACCACAATGTACCCAACTTCTGATGGCTACTTTCAGCAGGATAATGCGCCATGTCATAAAGCTGGAATCATCTCAGACTGGTTTCTTAAACATTACAATGAGTTCACTGTACTCAAATGGCCTCCACAGTCACCAGATCTCAATCCAATAGAGCATCTTTGGGATGTGGTGGAACGGGAGATTCGCACCATGGATGTGCAGCCGACAAATCTGCGGCAACTGTGTGATGCCATCATGTCAGTATGGACCAAACTCCCTGAGGAATGCTCCTAGCACCTTGTCGAATCTATGCCACGAAGAATTGAGGCAGTTCTGAAGGCAAAAGGGGGTCCAACCCGTTACTAGCATTGGGTACCTAATAAAGTGGCCGGTGAGTGTATATATATATATATATATATATATATATATATAAATAATGTGCCAATTTTCAACCCTAAACCTAAAATAAATCCAGTTTATTTCACTGTTTTGAAGGGTTGCTTCTAAAAAGAATCTTAGATATTAATATAAAATGGTATCTTAGATTTCGTAGGGAAATTTGTGTACGTAATTTTAGCACACTTTAATAGGAATTGATTTGCTGATTTCTGTGAGTAAGGTTGAGATTAGATCATTTTAGATCAGGCAACGTTATTGTAAAATATAGTTGTCCAAATCAGATATGGTTAGTGTGCTTTGATGGAGTAAACAAAGACTAAACCAAAAGAACCAAGAGTTCTAGACCCTCAGGTGAAAGAAAAAAAATCGATATAATGTGCAAATGTAAAATTTTGCACAGGAGGGGCTAAACTGAAGGACTTTAAAACAATTTAAGAAACTAATTTCTGTTAAACACACATACACAACTGACATACTTATGCTAGCTGTGCGTTTCATAGTATATAGCACTGTATCACTAGCTTCATTAGCTAGTTTGCACAACCCAATATACATCCGGGTTGCCCTCAATTTTACTTCATAAAAGAGACCAACACTATTTTTTCTCTGCCCAAAAATAAGAATTATACTAAAAGGTTAATCATGTATTTTCTAAGAAAATAAATTCATTTAAATCCTTACTCATTTATCACTCGTCTGTGCCTGATCCATCCCAAAAAATGGGATCCTAAGCTACTTCTGGGAGCTAACTTTTTCGGCTTGGTATTTAAACATAAACCTAGCATTTTCAAGTTTTAGTTTTGCCTCTCGTATAATGCATAATCACCAGAAAGGAACAAGTAAAATGCTGATACACACGGTGTAATCATATTTTCCCAGACTGCTGAGTATGTCCCATGTTGACGTCAGACAAGCAGTTTAGGAGAAAACGTAAAATGCTTACAATTTTCCCAGAAAAGTAAAAAATATATATTTACATGTAATTGAGCATTCTTTGGTGATTTAATGATAGAAATAAATGCTTTTAGTACCATAATTACACTATTTATGGCAACCTGGTTGTATATCTGCTTTCAGATGCTCAAATGAGCTGATGGTATGGATCAGGTAGGGGTTATACAAAGCCCATTATAACACAACAGATGTACGTACATCTATTGAACTTGACGTTTTAATGCTTTCAGTCTAGAAAATGACTGTTTCCTAGCAAAGGCTGTTTAGAATATAACAAATGCTCCTTAGGGCTGTTTTAGCTGTGCAGATCATGCTGAGCCTGCTGACTTACAGTCATGCTGTCAAACATCTGAGTGCTGTCATGGACGGAGGAGATCTCCTGGGCTGACAAAACTGGACTGACGTATTTGCTGGTGAACTTCTCCACGGCAGAGCTCACTCTCTTCTCCTGACTGTTCCACCACAGACGCACCATAGCAGGGAGGTCCTGCACTGTGCTGTAGTATACACTGCAGGCCAGGTGAGGGAGCTCCGACTCAATGCCAACACTCTCTGTAGTAAAGACAGAACACAAAGAATGAAATGTACTTTCCCTTTAATAAGAAAACAAAACATGACCTTATTTTTTAATAGGCAGGAAATCCTGAAAAGAAGCCAGTCAGAGGCAGTTTTCTTTCTTATGTAGGTTACGTCCTCAAAGTGACAAAGGTTATGGTGAGCCCACATAAACAGGTCCACACATGTAGGAGAGAATCTACAGAAGCATAAAAAGGAAGGAGTGCAGAGAAAGAGCATGGATACATAACTGTGGCATACTGGGGGCCCCATGGTATTAAATCTGTATACATAAAATGTTCAAAATGCACTTTAAGATGATTTGTTTGAGTATTTATTGCATGAACTCAGGATTCTGGGTTAATGTGTTTTAACCGGCTTATTCGTTTCTAGGTTGGATGGAGAGCATCTGAATATTCCTTTCCAATTCTTGCCAGTGATTCTTTTTTATTTTAGGTCTGGCTTAGGATCATTGTTCTGCTAGAAGCTAAACCAGCACCTCATCCACAAATCCTCTGACTGGAAAACGGATTTTTCTCCAGCACTGAAGATCATTCCTTCTTTCCTAGCATCGTGTTAGGGGGACGATTTACTGTATGTTGTAGTTAAAGGATGGTGTGATCTGAATGATGTACTGTGGTATTTTTTGGCACATATAGCATTTTGCATGCGGGCCGAAAACAGATTTTTGTCTTAATTGACAAGAGCATTTTCCATGCCGATGTGTTGAACAGCAAACAAGATTGCCACGTACAGAATGAAGATTATAACTGTATATCCAGACAGAGCAACTGTCTTAATTAGATTAACTACTGTGGAAAACATCAGTTCTGACGCAACAGGCCGCTAATATTAAGGTGTTATAAATTCACACATCATTGATCCTAACAATTGCTAGATCTTGCCAGAAGCCAGTAGGTGCAGAAATCAATACAGAAATATTTAGCACCAATGAAATGCAGTGACGTGTATGAAATCAACCAGAAACTGCAGACTGCAGCAAAACTAACATGTCTGCACCGGTGGACGTGTCTGTAGGCTCCACTATTCAGCCTGCTTTAGCTGGAATACTCTCCATTTCTTGTTCTCAAAACATGCAAAAGGACACGATTTGTGTCTTTAAAGATGGGAAGATGCCTGCACGTTGCTCCAGACCTGATTTGGTAGGAGTTTGATTTATCACTTAACTCTGCTACTTGTGAAAACCAAATGAAGAATGCGATATGTCACAGCTGCTACTGCTTCTGTGATTGGTTAAAAGTTCGACATGGAGTCAGAAGCCACTTGGTGATTTACACAATCAGCCTGAAGAATTTTACTGGATGAACCTCCTTCTGCAAACACTTTCCAGATAAGCCTTTCCAGATAGATACTGAGTAGGATTAAAATTGAACTAAAGGATAAATCTGGTTTATGCCAGGTTAGTTTTGTCATGGTCACCATCCATTAAATCCTGATCTGCGAGAGACATGCACATCTTCAGGGCTTAAGCAAAATGAAAACCAGACATTTTAAGAGCTTTTGTTCTTAGTCATACAAAATAAAGTAGGACCGAACTCTTGATCTCTAAAAACAAAACATTAAATTCTTGAAAGATCATTATCTCTTTCTCTCTACTTTTACATGGACAGAGTTTGTGGTGTAATTTCTTATCAACAGATTCATTAATGCTCTTTCAGAGTTAGTATGGCCCTCATGGCTGTGTCTCTGAATAATGTGGTCCTTAAGTAGCCCGTTTGTGATGAACAGTCATATCTTGGTTGGTTGATTTGTGATGTTAGGTTGTTAAGATGAATATATTTAAACACTTTTGAAAATCCTTCATTTTCCTAACATTTATTAAATATTTTTTCTTTTTCTTTTTTTAACCCATCACATACAATCCAAACCAATCCATTAAAGTTTATAGTTGGAAAAAAAAACTATTCAAAACATTTAGCAAAGGACTGTATGTCCTGTTACAACTTTTAAGGAACGTGACAACCTCAGAAAGACACTAGGAGTCTGATCCTGACTTACTGTCAACTGTGAGCTGCAGGCTCTCAGTGAAGAAGGTTTTACTCTCCTTGCTCTCCGCCCCCTGGCCTGGGCAAACCGGGTTCTCTGGCATCAGTTTGAAGAGATGGAGGAGAAGATTGTTAAGGGAACGGCTTCTCTTAAGATACTGAGCATAATGGGCACGTAGCTAGGGAAAAAAAGAGAAGAAAAAAAAAAGTTAACCAGCATAGCAAAACATGAAAACCAGCTTCCCAAGTCTTAATAAACCCACTGCTGCAGAGGAACTTAGAAATAAACTCACATGGGAGGGAGAGGATTTGAAAAACGTCAGGAGCAGCTTCCATGCAAGAAGGTATGCCAGGATGCAGGAGTATTCCACACTGAGAGGCTGGACCACCGCAAACTCTCCCACCTGAACGGCTGCTAGGATGCTGTCACACAGCTCTTCACAGGTCGACAGGATGGCCATGAGTGAAGCTGGAGGAGATCTAAGAGCCAAAACATTCTTTTAGTGCGGAAAGATGCATCAGTTGTATTGATCTATCGAATAAGCCGCTTGTAGAGATTTAATCTTTGGAAAATTGGGATTTTCTTTAATCATGAACTACTTTGGTATAGGCATCCAATTTTACTTTTTGTTCTCAGATGTATATGAAAACTAATCCAAGTAGGTACTAAGGTTTCCTACAAGCCTGTTTCTGAGCTTGGATTTGGTGGCAATAGAATGGACTGAAATAAATGTTTTTTTAAGGTAATTCTCTTCTTTTTTTCCTCAAAGACTTAAGTGGAAATCAATCTATCTATCTATCTATCTATCTATCTATCTATCTAATAACAAAGTCTGGTATGAAAAAGAAAAGTCTAATTTTTTCAGCCATAATGTGCATTTAATGTATTTATTTACATACATGCATAGAGGATTACTAATAGCCAAGTTCACGTTAAGGCTAGAGTTTCATTACTTTCACTTACAGACATGGCTCATCTCTGTCATCATCAGACTTGTTGTTATCACCTTCCCCGTCACACTCAGGCAGCTGTGGCATCACCCTGTATTGATAATAAAGTCGTTTAACAATGTGTGCTATAATTCAGCTAACATGAATAAAAAGGCTTTGACACATTCAACACCTTTTTTTTTCCATTTTAACTCTAGAGATTTTTTTTTTTCCATTTTAACTCTAGAGATTTGACTCTTTATGTCACTTTTCAGACAGAATCAAACTTTTCACTGTAAGAAAGAGAAACCTTTACTTTTCCAGCATGTGGTGAACAGTTATCTGCAAAGGTCTGGCCTTAAACAGCAGCAGGGGACACAGGGTGTTCAACAGCGTCTGCAGAGACTCCGGCAGGTTCGTCTTCTGGTCGGCGATGAATCGTGGTGGCAAAGCATTTTGGTTTAGCTGCTGCACTGGAATGTAGGTCAGAGCCAAACAAAGCGACTGCAGAACAGCCATGGGGAACACAGGGTCATCCGGTTCAGGAAAGGTCTCTTTTTAAACCACAATCACAAAAATTAAGTGTCAGTAAAAACATTAAAATAAAGACTAGTGCTAAAGACATACACATATATATATATATATAAAAAAAGGGTTGTTTGTAGTTTAAAAAAAAATGTAAATAAAAAACCTAACAATGCTTGGAAAAAGTTAAAAACAAATTATTTTTTAAGAGGAACTACAGTTATTCGCCATGATCAACCTCACACACTTACCAGTGATTTTAACCGGCAAGGGTAACAGGAGGTTGTAGATTCCCTCTACGAAGAAGTCTTTCCATTCACCAGCCAGCTCTGCTGGCAGCTTCTCCAGTTCTTCAGAAGACGACGACGTGAAGAACTGATTCAGAGTTACGATCAACCTGGAGTTCTCGCACACAAACAGCTGGACCCAAGGGTTCCAAAGGCTGCTCACATTCTCACTGGCCGTCTGGGAGCGGATAAAAAAGAAGGAAAACCAAGTTAATATGAATTTGTTTTTTTTAAATATGGTGCCTAAAAAGAAGCCAAAAATAATATTGAGGTTTGTCATAATTTTTATCCCCCTCCTCAACAGCAAAGCTTACAATTTCATTAAAAAACAATTTGTCTTAATCACAAACTTTAATCAATTTTATTTATAGGCCAAAGAAGTACATATCTTTTTTTATTGCAAAGAAAATTAACTTGTATTTTTTAACCTTTATTTACAAATACAAACATATAGAAAAAGAGTGATGTGGCTTAAAAATCTGAGCGGCTTTTTTTCATTACAAATCAAATTGATTGCTTATTTTTTCATCACTAAAAATAAGAAATTACTTATTTTGCTTTAAAAAAATTAGCTTTGATTTCAATCATCCCAAAGGACATGTTTTAATTTAAAGGGCAACAAAATGTGAAACAAGCTTGGAAAATAATCAAGTTTCACAGCAAAAAGAAGAAAAAAAAATTAAATGTTTGCAGCTCGTGGATCCGATAGTCAATTAGTTTATTAGTTATTAGAACACATCTAAGAACAGTGATGAGCTGATGTCACTCTGAGCTGTGGAAGCCTAGCGAGTGGATTGGCAGAAGAAAAAAAATTCCAAATTGTTTGAAAAAATATCTATAAACAAATAATCCAATTAATCAACTTTATTAATGAATTGCTATACCCCAACAGAAACAGGTAAATATTGGCTGATGCATTTTCATTCTGCCCTCTTTAGTCTAATGCCCCTAAAACAAAATCCAGTGCCACCATTTGCTGTTCTGTGAAGGTCCTCTGTGGTTTGCTTACTGAAAAAAAAACAGCATCACAAAGAACAAGGAGCACAGCAGACAGGCAACAACTGAAATAGGTAAAAAAAAAAACAAAAAAACAAAGCAGCTCAGAGCAGAGAAACTTTTAAAAGTAGACTTATTAGAGCTGTGCAAAATACAGGGAATATATTGTCATTGCATTATAAGTGTTGTTGATATTTATGTTACAAATAACTTTTAGAGGGATAAAAATTTCAGGCAAAACTAATCAAATTGTTATGAACTTGATTTTTTTACATGCTAATAATTAGATGGTTGGAGGACCGTGCAAAAAAAGATAATGCTGCAGGGAGCACAAAGTGAGGAAGACAAAAAGAAGAAAATACAGCGACAAACTGCAACTGACATAATCTAGCAATATTTATCACTATGGCCACTGCAAAATGCTCTGAAAGAGTGGAGAGATACTAGACATTCAGTGGGAGGAGGTAGTATATTATGATCAGCGCAAAAATGAACATAATGAGGATGTACACTTTTCCCAACTTGGGTTTTCTGATCACTTAAAATGATATAAAAAAATACATGGATTAGAATAGAAATACATAGAAATAAGTGGTTGTAACATGACAAAATGTGGAAAAAGTAAAGGAATATCCAAAAATAATATTTGCATCTATTCTCATAAAGGTCATATAGAACTTTTTGGGAGCTTGGTCTCACCTCCAACCAGGCCAACATGGAGCAGAGTAAAAAGTCCCACTGGTTTCCACCAAGGACAGCTGGACAACGGCTCACCAGCCAAGACAAGAATCGGATCATCTCCACGTTGAGGTTCAGCTGTTCAGATGTTGTTTCAGAAAGATCACTGGAATACACAGATTCAGCTTGTTTACAAACAGTAGATGAACTTATCTATGACAAACCCCACACAATTGACACATCGGGGCTTGGACTTCACCAGCCTTCTGAGAACATTTTCTAAGAAAAATCCACACAAAGGCAACACAGTCCGTGGGTCACATCATGAAATCTTTAGATCAAACTTGTTTTTTTTGCAATACATGCTGCAGATCCCCTTGTTCGTGGAAAGGCTTCAAAACCCTGGACTGTTAACTTAGCAATAATCTTAGTGAAATTGCTCAGACATGTCAGTGGGGGTGTTTATAAACCCAACAAATAGCTTGCTTAGTGTAACTCCATTACCAGCTAAAGAGGAACCAATCCTCCCTGCTGTTTCTCCATTCCATGATAGTGGCGAGGATAGCCTGAATGACCTCCTCTTCTACCGGTGTGTTGCCGTTAAGACAGCACAGCAGCACTGCTAGACAGCCATAAACACCTGAAACAAACAGCCAAACATCAGTAATTGCATATATAAATCAAGAAGGTATGGATTCCTGTAATAAGTGTGTTTCTAGAGGCGTCTCACTTTCATTTTCTTGCCAGTTGACTATTCCAGCAGTTGCCAAGGCAATCAGAGTTTCTCTGTCTTCTTTGGACATCAGAGGGCAGAGTACCTGGAGCGTGCTTAGTTTGCTCAGAGAAACTGGGAAAAGACTAAAGCAATGTATACTTTTAAAAGAAAGGATTTACAACTTTAGATGTCAGAATGTGGAAGCAAAATAAATATTTAAAATAATTATAAAAACTGACCTATCTGCGCTGTCGTAAAGTCTATTAAGAGCTCTTCTGTGAGTGGCTGCCAAATTGTGGGTGAGGATGTAGTTCTCCAGAGTCAGAGACCACAAACCTCCCTCGGTCACTGACCTGATGGTTGCAAAAGAAGACAAATTTAATCAGATTATGTTTAAAAACAGAAAATAAAACAGATAATTCTCACTTTAAGTAAAGGATCTCTAGCAGAGAATTCACTGGAACTTTGCCATGGAGTCCATCCAATAGCCCCCATTCAGCCAGCAGGTTGTGATACCCAGATGCTACCGCGGGTCTGTAGTCAAGCTCCTTACACCACTGCAGTGCATACAGCAGTTCTGAAACTGTTAAATTATACCATTTAAACATAAAAGCATCATTAATGCTTAAGAGGTGACGAATGAGATGCATTTAGAAAAAAAGAGCCCCTTCTTAATGGAGACTCAGCGTTTACCTGCGTCCTTAAGGTTTGGGAGGAATGAAGGACGCGGCGCCTCCATCTGGTCACAAGGTGAAGCTGCAGCAGTCTGCGTCACTCTTCCCAAGACAGCACAGACGCAGAGGTGAGCCGGCAGCCTGTTTGAATCCTTCAACTTCCACATGTCCTTGGTGGGTTTTTCACAGACTCCTCTGTGACGGCTGGACAGTAAAGGAGATTTGACCCACTGAAGACAACAGGAGGAAAGAAGAAATATAACATGAATGCTAAATGTTTTCTTTTTATAGGGCCTCCTCAAGTATTCCTACACCTCAAACTTTTTTTTTTTTTTTTTTTTTTTTTCCCCCATCACCTGAAAGGGACACATTTCAATGCACTTTATTAGATATTTATTGTATAAAAACTTCCTCTTTGATTGTTTTATTTACATTTTTATAATTTCGGATCAGTTTCTGCTGTGTAGGGTAATATAATTAAAAGGACACCAATGCAGTATGTCACGGGATTCAAAATATTAGCTAAAAAACTATTTTTATTTTTTCATCTTAAACCTATTTGGTCTGTTGCTCTCTGAGCTGCAACTGGCCCTTTTAACCCAAACTGCTCGTCCTTTAGATCAGGAATGATGTTAATTTCTGAAGTTTGTTGTTCTAATGTGACAACATCAGGAAAATGTTTCAGGGGTAGGATTACTTTTGCAAGAGCTCCTTAAAACATTTATTTTATAAGCCTGGTATGGTTCCAAAGGTCAAGCATCGGCTTGCTGACCTGCGGAGACAGGGCGTGTCTGATTTTGGTCCACTCAGTCTGGCTCGGTGTCAAATGGGTAAAAAATTGGCTGAGAATAGAGGTAGCCTGGCCCCCGACAGAAAGGATTGTTTCCACCAAGCTTTGGACAGCTCCGACAAGAACCTGCAAACTAAATCAAAAAAGGAATCATTTTTAACAACATGCGGACTTCTTTAAAATTTGAAAGATGTTTCAAACTAATTAGGGATACAAGAACAGCTAAGATTTACCTTTGAATATCCATAGATATGCTAAGCAGCTGCTTCATGACCCAGAGGGCAGCACTGTGCAGGAACCCGCCTTCCCTGACGCCACATTCACAGTGTAGCACCAGTGACTTGACCCCAGCTACACACACGTTCTTCAGCTTTTCCAACAGTGATTCTGCCAAAGCATGAGGAACACATATTAGTTCTTTCTCCCAAAGTTTAATCAGGCATTTTCTGAAGGGTGCGTGCCTACCGGACAAGTGAGTGTGTCTTTGATCTTGAGCGGTCAGCTTGAAGACTGTCAGCAGGAGCTCCTCAGCAGAGAGGAGCAGAAGGCAGTCCTGTACGGAGGAGAAGAAAGACGAAGCCACGTCGCAGATGAAGGAGATAAGTGGCTCCATGTTGCCAGCGTCAGACAGACTCTTCGCCTCAGACAGAGTGGTGTGGAGCCTCTCTAACATTTTCTCCATGTACACCTCCCCTATCAAAGACTCTGAGAGCACAAAACAACAAAATTTTAGATATATCAACTGTTTGTCAAACAGACAAAAACTTTAGGCAATATCAGAGACTGTATTTACCACTGTTGCTGTTTTGAGAGAGAACAAGACTAATGAGCGTCCAGCTCGGGTTGCTTGTCTGAGTTGTGGAAGACGCAGAGCTTCGCCCGACCTTGCACAGCTCTTCGGTCAGTCCCAACAGCTGCTCACCAAGAAGTGAACCTTTCAGCCATTCCCTGCAGCTTGTGCGAGCCTCAGAATCTTTACATGCCTTTAAAAATCAGAAAACTGTCAAAAAAGCGATTTCTACGAGTAAACTAAATAGTTTAAGTTTGATAGAAACAGAATTATATTCACCCTCTGAATAATTTGCAGGATAACTCCCCACTGCAAACCCATCTAGAAAGAAGAGACACCAACCTTTAGAGAAAATGGTAATAAAACTGTAGCTGGACCTCAAACGAATGAGGATGCAGTTACCGTGGTGATGTGATTGAGAATGTGTGTGGTCTCCTCCAGGCTGCAGCAGCAGAGTGAGCTGAAAACCATCTCCACCAAGTGCTCCGTATTGTTGCACCCCATCTCAGCGAGCCACACGACCACCCGCTTCAACAGGAACCGAACCGCTGGGTTCTTCTCTTTCCTCCATTTATCATCTCCAGGTTCGTCTTCATCAAATTCAAGTAAGGTCTGAGATGAGTGAAATACAAATATTATGATAAGAGTTTAATTTAATTTTATCCAAACAGACGGAAATCAAAGCTGCTCAATATATAAAAAAAGACATTGTATGATCTTTTTTTTGGTCTACAAAACAGAAAAAAGAAATATAGAAAAGTGAAAATAGTTCTTTGACTTACACTGAAGATCCTTGGCGTGTGAAAAGACTGCAGAAGTTGGGCCAGAAAAACAAGATGTTTCTCAGAGTTTTTCTCATTCACATGCACCAGGCACAGCTGTGCCAGCTGGCAAACAGCATCCTCAAAATGCTCCGTCTGTAGGGACGCCGTCTGCGAGAGCTTTTCAACTTCCTCCTCCTGAATTACTGATTTCTCATCCTCCTCGTTCTTTGAGAGACACAGCCTGACAGATTTTTTCTTCTGGGTTTGTTTTCTGCTCACTCTCTCAGGATAACGCATGACCTGGAGAGAAGCAAGAGGACAAAGAATGTCAAAAGGCCTCGGCATGCTGGCAGTATTCTTATTTCCACAATATTTCATCTACATTTTTCTAAAGTATTGTAAGGAAACTCACCTGCAGCAAAGTGGCTACACCTTCCAAAGTCTGAGCATCCAGATCCTCATTGTCAACACATCGAACACACATGAGACAGAGTTCCTCCCAGAAGTCTGCCAAGAGTATCTTGAAGAGATCCTTGCTGCTAATCTCCTCGTGTTCACCGTGTAAACCCGCCCTCTTCTCCCAGGAAACAAGCATGTCAGTGACCAGCAGGAAGAGAGGCCCATTCTGGAGGGAAGGATCTCTAACAGCCTTTTCTATTAAAGGTAGGAGCTGCAAAGATCGAACACCAAAGGAAACATCTGGAGGTTAGAAAACGATGTGTTGGAGGAATTAGACCGGAAAGCATATTATTCGCACCTGCTGGGAAATTAGCATGTTCCTTATTTTCTCCTGAGATTGCTCCTCTCCCATGTTCTGCAGTATGCAGTACCTCAAGCACTCGACAAAAGAGGTCACGATGACCGCACTTTCCGACGGGCTCGTCACTGCACGCTCGCTAGACAGACTGACAAAGAGAAAAACAGGGATTGTTTTTTTTCTGTAACGATTTTATGTAGTTATGTAGTTAGTTATGTAGTTTAACATATAAATACAAAAAGAAGTTACCCTTGCAGGAACGCAGCGTAGAAATTAGTGTAGAAGTCCATGTTAGGATCGGTGACTTCCTGTGGCAATTTACTGAGTAGAGGCATTAGATTTGGATGGAGTCCTTTAGCCATGCCTTTACCACCTTCTTTTAACAGAGCCCAGAGTTTAGGGAGAAAGCCCTTTTTGGCATTAATATGTGTCCAACAATCCTGAAATATAAAGTTTAAAAATATACACAGTATAAAACTACAGCCGAGAAAAAAAAAATGATATGCATCGTGATGGAAAAAAGAAATAACACAATGATAGAGCCCTGAAGTTTTATACATCGTAATTATAAGTAACTTGTTAAGTTAATAATAATTAATTCTTAAATAATTTCATGATGTCAAGTTTAAAAAAATACAGTGATTTTATCCTACTTTCTTAGGAAAAGAATGGGCTGTAACTATCAGCTCTGTGTCAGAGTTGTTTTTTAAAGCAGCTGTCCACCTCTCACCTCATTAAGGAAGATATTTCACACGCATTTGTTATTATTTACATGTTTCTGCACTGCTCAATTAAGGTCACACTGCAGAACATCCGTGTTGATTAGAGGTGAGTATTGGCAAGAGTGTTGCGATTCAATACATGTCGCGATACTTGGGTCACGATACGATATTATCACGATATTGCAGTATCACTATATATTGCCATATTTTCCCCAGCTATCAAGATCAAATGATGAGATAAGACAGCAAGTGCTGTATATTTTCATCAGAAAATATTGATTAGGTATTATTATACATGTTGTTTGGGGTTTTCTTCCACTGTGACTGCCTCAAATACAGATTTGGTGCTGCACGCACAGTTAAAGGGCTCCACAGCGCTTTCTGCCAGAGTGGTGGTGCAGAGGTAGCCCATTTTCCCATCAATGTTTTATGTAACCATTTTTTTTTTGAAAATCGATACTAAGAAGTGAAAGATCGATATTATATTGGGCAGCCGAATATCACGATATATCGCCAAAACGATTATTTCCCACACCCCTAGTGTTGATATGATCAGGCCAAACGGTAACACCGATTCTTCTTCCAAGCTACTCTGCCAAAGATTTGCTGATTGGATTCAGACTCGCTGCTTTGTTTCATGACCAAAGTCAGGACAAAACTGTCGCCACCAAACAGATGACCTTAAATTTCCTTCCAGACTACTTTGAAAGAGTTAATGGTAGGCATAACGTCTTTCTCAAAGCAGTTCAGCCACAAACACAAGTCCCTCTTTATGCTTCCTCTGATATTCACGCATCAACCATCACATCATCCATGTTTGGAGCAGATATCACATCTTTTAACTAAACTCAGCCAAGTGAAAAACAAAAGATCTGTTTGAGCTTTCCAAATCCATCCAGTATCGAAGGTAAATAAGTCTCCAAATATTTGGCTGATTTTACCAGCCCAGACCAGATGTGTCGAGCAGTTGACCAGTGGAAAAAAACACAGATGAAATCAGGATATCTGTCCCATCTCTGCACACTTTAAAGGGACTTCGTTCAGGAAAGATCTATAATATTTGTAAAATGTTTTCTTTGTTTCCTTATATGGAAAGACACCAAAATGTTTATTTTAGGGGACCTACCTACAGTGGTCCGCTAAAATACCTATCTACCTACACTTGTCAGAAAATACCACTATAATATAAATATATATAATAAGTATTTGAACACCCTGCTATTTTGAGTTTTAAGTTCTCCCAACTAGAAATCATGGAGGGGTCTGAAATTGTCATCGTAAGTGCATGTCCACTATGAGAGACATACTCTAAAAAAAATCCAAAAAAATCCAAATCCAAATATATGAATAGGTAACTATTTATTTGTATGATCATCTGCAGATCAGTATTTGAACACCTGTTTATCAGCTAGAATTCTGACCCTCAAATACCTGTTAGTATGCCTTCAAAATGTCCACCTCCACTCCATTTATTATCCTAAATTAGATGCACCTGTTTGAGGTTGTTAGTTGCATAAAGACACCTGTCCACCCCATACAATCAGTAAGAACCCAACTACTAACATGACCAAGACCAAAGAGCTGTCCAAAGATACTAGAGACAAAATTGTAACCATTTGGATGATCAGAGGAGTCATGAAACAAAGTCATGTGGTCATATGTGACCAAAATAGAACTTTATGGTCATAATTCCACTAACCATGTTTGGAGGGAGAAGAATGATGAGTACAGTCCCAAGAGCACCATCCCTACTGTGAAGCATGGGGGTGGTAGCATCATGCTTTGTTCCTGCATATGGGAGAGGGTGACTGCACTGTATTGATGAGAGGATGACAGGGGCCATGTATTGCGAGATTTAGGGGAACAACCGCTTCCGTAGTTAAAGCATTGAAGATGGGTTTAGGCCTTGTCTTCCAACATGACAATGAACTGAAGCATAAAGCCAGGATAACCAAGGAGTGGCTCTGGAAGAAGCATATCAAGGTTCTGACGTGGCTTAGCCGGTCTCCAGACCTAAACCCAATAGAGAATCTTTGGAGGGAGCTCAAACTTTATTTTTCTCAGTGACAGCCCAGAAACCTGACAGATCTAGAGAAGATGTGTGTGGAGGAATGGCCAAACTCCCTCCTGCATTGTGTGCAAACCTGGTGAAAAACCTACAGGAAACATTTGACCTCTGGAATTGCACACAAAGGCTACCATACCTAATATTAACATTGATTTTCTCAATTGTTCAAATATTTATTTGCAGCTGTATCATACAAATAAATAGTTTTTAAAAAATCATACATCATGATTTCTTGATTTTTTTTATGTGGACATGCTTCTACAATGACAATTTCAGACTGCTTCATGATTTCTAAGTAAGAGAACGTGCAAAATAGCAGGGTGTTCAAATACTTATTTCCTCCCTGTATCTATATATGTGGAGAATATACATATATAATGTTGAAGTATTTTTGCTTCATCCATTAAGTTCTTTTAGACGGGATATATTCATAAAGAATGGCATTTATTTCACTCTAATAGCTAGTGGTCCCCATCGCTGACCTGCATGGTTTCAGTGTTTCTCTGCTTCAGCAGAATCCATTGTAATGAATGCTTTTCCTCCTCAGCATCCCACTGGGTGCTACTGAAGCCTGTTCAACACCTTTTTATTTAACAAATGTGTGGCTGCAGCGAAACACTTAAAGCATGCAGGACAGTGAGCCAACCATGGTTGGAACCCTCTGGTATAAACTCACAGGGATTGTAGACACAACATGAAGAACAGCTTCCCACACATGAGGAAGAACAACAGGATCGGTGTCGTCGATACCCAGAAGAACAGCGGGGCAGAGTCGTGCTACTTCACTCTGGACCAGTTGTGGGGTGAATCGGCACAGAGCGCAAATCATCTCAAAAAAGGCCCATCTGATCTGTGGAGCAACAGATGAAGAAAGAACATCCCAATTATCATTTAGACCAAGAGTTTCCCTAGTGACTAGTTCTTTCAAAACAAGAGATTATTTTTCTCACACTGCATCACAACTAGACTTCAGACTTTTCTCAATCATATAGTTGGAAATTTATCTCAGTGTATATCATTCATAACTCCAATTTGAAGAGTAAACATTTAACCAGGCTTTTGTGATTTATTAAACATTCAGGAAAAAAAAAAAAGATGAGTGCATTTCAATTTTATTTTCCCAACTTTATGAGCTAGAAAAGTAGAATGAGTAAACGGTGTGAGTAAAATTACATTATTTTAACACAGATGGATTTTAAATGGTGTCAACTGTTAAAGGTTATTTCCTACTGGTGTTGGATCGACTCTTCTGGGAGGTAAATTTTCTCCTTTCTTTCTTTTTAGGAAATGACTCACATTCCTTAAAAATTAGCTCAAAGTACAATTAATTCTTAACACTTTTAGAAATGTACGGTAACTTAAAGGGGAAGTTATTGTATTATGTTTATAATAATAATAATAATAATTCAAATGTAATGAAATAAATGGATCTGAAAGGCCAATCCCTGTTTGTTTATTTAATACTGACAGCTGTTCTAATTTCACCATCAAAGTTTCAGTACTGTTTTACTGGTTAGTTTTTCATTTATTAATTTGCAAGGGTTGTTCGTTGTACCACAGTTGACAATTTTAGAAGCAGCGCTGGAAAACACAATTCTTAAGAACTCCTTTGCTTGTTTAAGTTTTTCTTTATCCTAATTAACCTAAATCATAAATTAACGTTTATAAGGAAGACATTTTAAAGGTATAGATTTATTTTAAGCGACTTTGCAGTATCAGCTCTCTCATCCTTGAATCTTCATTTAATTCTTAATGACAAGTTAAAAAAGGAATTACTGATATGTTATTATTTTGATCGTGTTATTTTACCTCTGAAGAGTGTGGATCTACCCTGAAAAGATTTAAAATCAACTCTTCTTGCTGTGCAGGCTTTATGTTTTAACATCATTTATGTATAGAATAAGTTTATGTGAACCTTTGGATTTTATATAAAAGAGAAAATTAGAAATTGAATCCCAACCTGGGGTGTCTTGTGCTTGCTGTATTTCCAGAACTTCCCAGAGCTAACCAGAAGAGCTAGTTTCTGCTCCAGTGCTGCTCTGTCGTTCTCAAGCAGCATTGAAAGCAGTTTCTTCACACCCAGCAGGGAACTGGTCAGCAGGCGAAGATATTTGGCTTCTCTCTCCTCTTCTGTCACACTTCTGTAAAAGACAAACAAATGCATCAGCAAATCTATCACTGTAGACACAAAATGAAAGCAACAAACAGTAGATCAATTAAAGCTCTTTACATACTGTGGGTCACTGAGAGTGTCGGCCGTTTCCTTTAATAGGATATCCTGAAGCACCTGAAACACAGTCGGCATAAATTAAATATGTCTTGAATACCGGTACTTAAGAGCTTCTTAAATTTTCTATATTTTGATACGTTATGATCACAAACATTAATGTATTTTGTTGGAGTTTTATGTAAGAGACCGACACAGAGAAATGCTTAATTATTAAATGGAAGGAAAATCCTGCAATATGGTATTTAAGATAAGATGAATAAAATCATTGCGTAGCATTTATTAGGTTTATTTTACACCTATAATATATATAAAATCACAATTATATTTTTTTTATAGATTGTGACAATTAGTGTGTAATTTAATCTCCAAAATTAAAGATTGTGGCCTACATACGAAGGGAAATAGTGCAGTAAACATCCATGAAACTATTGCCATGGTGAGGTCGAAGCTTTGGGAAAGCATTTCTTCAAAAGACACAGGGAAGCTAATCAGAAATGGTAGGAAAAGGTGAAACTAAATAACGGGCGATCTTGAAATAATTCACCAATTGGAATAGTTTGCATAGTTGGCCTGTCACAGCAACACATTTAGCATGATGATCAAATTGTCCAAAAAATAATTGCGATAAACGGTAGTCGTTAGTTTTAAATTCAAAGTGCTCCCACACTGCAGCTGTACAGTTCGGCTTTGAAAGCATTTCCAAATCTCATCCAGCATTTCTCTGGCTTTCTGCTCCTCAGTCTTTGGCTCTAAGGAACCTTCAGGAAACTATGGGAGCTGGTGAGCGGTGACCGATGCACCAGAGTGAAAACTTTTGCCACCCAGACGAAGGAAAGGAAATGGCAAGAAAATTAGCTTATTTAAATTTATCATGCGATTAATTAATATATTTATTGTGACAAGTCTAGTTATGCATTTGAATTGCCCAGTTAAACTTAATCTTATGAATAGTGAGAATCTGAGACTAGATTTAGAGAAGATGTTCAGACTTCATGACTTAACCTTTAATTACTGTGAAATGAAAAAAAAAAAAAAAGTTCAGTCCTAAATGTTTTGCGGAGCTGTTTGGAACGAGCACAAAAACCTTCCGTTTCACGCAAATGCAGGCTACACTTCTAAGATTTACTAAAAGTCTGAGATCCATGTATCCTTTTAATCCCACTTCCAATATTACAGAAATAAAACCATACCAAAATAAACTGAGGATTTTGGTATTAATATGTAACAAAACAGGTTTAATGGTAGGAATACTTAGCAATGCACTGTGACGTATTTTAGCACAATCCACATTTTAACACTAAAGCAAACATTACCACTGACATTAAGGATCTCCTCCTTGCAGAAGCCGAGAGCTTCGGGCTGTTTAGCAGGCGAGAAAGCAGCCTCGAAGGCCAGGCATGCAGCAGAGGCAGCAGGCGTGTAAGTGTCACACTGTGACAGAATCCAGTGGCCCATCAAACTCTTGAGAAAGGGGGCCAGGCTGCGACGCACTTTTAGCACCAGCTGTTCAAATGCTTGTTGAGTGGCTTCCCTGATGCGCCGGTCATGATCCTAGCACATAAAATGATATGAAAAGAAACATTAGTAAAAACATTAACCATTTCACCTATCATAAACCATATAGGAGTTCCAGATAGGAATTTGTAGACATATGCTGTAGGTTCTAGATTCTTGATATGATGCAAAGCATTACATGATTGTCTTCATTTAGGCATTAATTCAGGCTTAGCGTACGTTTAAAAATAAGAGAATCACAGTCTACTTTGTTATCTACCGAGTTTATAAAACCAAAAAATGGGAATTCTTTGGTTTTCATGTTTTTAATGGCTAGCAAAACTATTTAATTTTAAAGTAATCAATCTGCAGACCTGAGAAAATCAAAGGGGTAAAAAAGTGCTCTTTAACTTTTGCTCAGTCGACTGTTTCATCTTAAACAAATGTTTAAAAGTGAGGATCCTGAATGGGTAAGTGACTGCAGTGTTGCTTTTGTCAACGATGATTAAATGATTTTGTTGTCGCTCCTTTTTTTTTCATGACGATAGCGAGAACCAACAAGCTAAAAAAAATAAGAAATAAACCAAAATTTACCATAGTAGAAAGAAGAATGTTTTTGTTCTTTGACATTGGCATGGTTTTAGACATAAAACGTTGTATGTCTAAAACCACTACTTTATTGTAAATTTTGCTTTTCTGAGACTTATTGTTATAAAGTAGGGCATTCATTCATAACATTTTTATTTTGCTTTCTATAAATCAAATTTTTCTCCCCAACAGCATTGATAAACTGCACGGCAGCATTGTATCTTCAACGGTCGTAGTATCTAGGATAGAGCTGTCAGTCTGGTAAGGAATATGGTTATTATTCGAAGCTGTAAAGTTTTAGCTGTTTTATGAAGTTCAACATAAAACTGACTAAAACTATTAATAGTTTTTGGCCTGAAGACCAAAACTAAGACTAAATCTAAGATGGCTGTAAGAAACAACACTGACTGACTGACTGACTGACTGCAACGTAAAGTGTTACAGGTAGTATTGTGGGAATTGTCCAGGCAGTATAAAAGCGGAAGCTGTGAGCATTTCTTGAAAGGTGTCAGTTTCCATGGGACACCTCTTGGTTCCATGCATGATGTACATTTGTCAAGAATGTGGGTGAGTGTTTGTAATAGTGGGGGTTATACTGAATTTTTATTAGGACAAATACACATTTGTTTCTTTGTTAGGAGGCCCTGCAGGGTTTTTTAGACCAGGCTGTGTATGCGGGGAGATGAGGGTGATGTACACGATACACAGGTATTTTTTTTGAGATTTTAAAGGTAGTTATTAAAACTATACATTGATTAATTTTTTTATTTATTTGGTGTTCTCTGTTTGTTTACAGATCCTGCTGTCCTTAGGTTTATGTTGTTGTTTTTTTAGTTAGTCCGACTCTGTTTGGTGTCTTTGGTCCCACTGTTCAGTTGTGAACTGTTTGTTTTTTTCTTATTATCTTTTTTCCATCCATTAGTTTTTTTTTTCTGTACTTGGACACTCCAGTGTTCAGTGGTGATTGTGTGCATTGTTTGTTTTTTATCCGATGCTGTGAAGCCTTATACAAATGTGCGACTTTCTTGTTCTGGTTAAGTGGGTTTGTTCGCCATCAACCAATGTCAGAGTGTAAATATTATATTGTCTACCTTAAGCCATCAGTGTTGTAGAAAGAAAGGAAAAGGATTTTTTCGCTTAATAAAGAACATATATATTTTTATGACCAAGTTTATTCCATCTTTACTCTGGTTGTTACAAAAGGAAAAAGCTCACCACTGATATCTTGCAGTAAATTCTTGGCCAATATGGGAGAACTCCTTTCACCTCCTCTGCATCCCTTTCTTGACACATGGTCCCAAAGTCCTGCACTGCCTGGAAAGAACATCGCTTTTAATAGGCACGCTGAATTTATTATTATTATTATTATTTTTATTATTATTATTATTAATAATAATAATAAATATATATATATATATATATATATATATATATATATATATATATATATAATGAAAACATGACACTTAAAAAGTTTTCAACTGTCTAAATATGCAAGCAGATCAATACTGAGAAAATCCACAGCAAAGCATACAGGTAGCATCTTCAGCTCACCTTGAGTCTGGTGACGACATCCCTCTTTGAGAGTTTCCTCAGCACCAGGCGGAAATCAGCATCCACCTGGTTGTCTATGTCCTCCGCTCCGTGGACAGCTGGAACATAACTCAGCTCAGAGGTGACCGTAGTATCAAAGCCCACGAAGCCCGGGATGGCGCCACCTTCCCGGGCTAGAACCTCGGCTGCTCGACCGCTACTGGATGGCTGAAAATAATTGGGATAAAAGGAAAAAAAAAAACATATGTCGGGTGGTCAGATTGGGGTCAACTAAAAAAACACGCATGGCGTTACTGTGAGCTGAAAACACGAAGTTTGTGTTAGCCTGTGCTAAGGATTGTAGCAACTTTTAACTGCACCGAATCAACACCGTTTTATTGAGACTGGCGCTTACTTACCCGGACGTTTCCTTTTGTGCGCTGTTTGTTCTTACCCCCCATGGTGGTCTTGTTTGTTTAAGTTTTAACTGTGTTTTTCATGAAAATGTGTCCTTACTAGCTATCACACAGGAACTCCATCCAAGTACCCCGGACGTGTCTATGGTGACACACATTTACTTAACGTTACGTCACTGTAGATCTTTGCATATTTAAAGCTGCAAGTAGAAAGAAATGACTCTTCTCGCCCCCTAAATCGTTTAAAAACTGGTTTGTCATCATAAAACATGCGAGTTAAAACGGAAATTGTAGAATACTGAATACCACATCGGTATTATTGGTCCTGTTTTTAAATCTAGGCACGATCGATTTGAATCAAATGGAAATTCCGAGTATCTAGTGCACAGCAAACGCAACATAGTCACGTGACTTCTTTATTTTAGTGGCGGTTGGCAAGTAACGTTTAGGAGCGCATTACCGCCACCTTCTGAACAGGATATGGATCAACATTTTAAAATGTCCTTACAAAGTCAATCTAACTTCATTTGTTTAAATCTTTCAAAATTAAATAAAATCTGCAAAATTAAAGAGCTTAAAGGAGACATATTTAAAGAGCCTTCTAGTTAAGTCTTCCAAAGAATAATTAAGAATATTCCTAACTAGCTCTAGAAGAAAAAAACACGCTGCAAGTAATTGGTATATTAAAATCGGAAAGGGTATAGTCCTTTATATTTGTCTGGTTACACTCTTGATGTTGACACAAGAAAATTTTTATTTAAAGGATTTAGCAAAATTATACCGCTCTTTCCTTAAAAATTCCGCCACACCATGGTTTATTTTCTGCTATGTTTAAATCACTTATTGGGATTTTTTTACCTAACAAAGTATGGCAACTACACATTTGTGGTACACAAAAAAATAAATAAATAAATAAAAAATGGTAAAAGCTACAAAAGTAGCTCAAAAACAAGCAGGTTGTGCATTTGGATTAAGAATCATTTTAATATAAACCCTCTTTACATGAATCCTTTTTTATTACATTGAAAATATATCTATGGACACTATATCTACTTAATCTCACAAATATATGTACATATCTTTTGCTAAGCACTTGCTATATTCATATTTTCCGGTATGGAGGTCATATCTATATCACACAGAGTTAAATTCAAGTGATTGCATAATTTAACGTAAACAAACTTGTATTTCATATAACTTCCAGAGATATTTGTGCAAGGTTTCACAAAGTATATGAAGTTTACATCTTCCTTAATAAAAATAAAAAAACAAGTATGTTTTGTGGTAAGCATCACCTCTACAATGAGCTAGTTTTTATATAATTTTCAGGCACATTATCAGTTTAATGAAGCCTCCTCATCCCTATTCAAAGAGGAAAAAAAGTATATAGTTTATTTATTTTTTTTACAGGTCAACCAATTTGTGTATGGTATTCCCTTCATCAGAAAAAAGTATTTAAACACAAATCAACATAAAAAAAATTGGTTCAGCATTTGCTTTATGAATAATAATACAAAAAATGTGTTAAAAAAAACAAAAATGATTGGTAGAATGATCATATTTAACTGCAAGGTGACCAAGTCTTATGTGGATGTTCACCATTTATGAATTTAAAGTATTTCCATAAATAAAACATAAAGCCAGGCTTCACAAGTCAGGATGTCAACCATTTAAACTGTTTTTTACCAGTTTTGTACAGAAACGCTTATTTTTTTTTTATCCATGCCGTACAGCAATTCCACCCAATAAGTACAGTAACCTAATGCAGCCCTGCTATTCTTTTCTTCACACGTGATCACTATGACTCAGGTCACAAAATTAACATTGATTTAAGAAAAAATCTTTATAATCCTCTCATTCGACCATTCTTTCACTTACATAATTTTGAACAGAAATTCATTTTACAAACTGCAGCTTTTAATCTGAGTCAGAAATTTGACATCCTCGTTTCCGTTTCAACAGCAATGTTAAATCTGAACCAGACTGTGGTTGCGCGTCCCCTGGTAGATTTAAAAATGCTACAATGCATCAAGTTCACAAAAACCAAAAACTTCTCTCATGAATTAGGTGTAAAAACATCAATTTTTGCATGATTTATCTAATGAACGTGCCTGTGGTCCTTCTGAAACCAAATGTAGAACAAATGTTCAGTTAAACGATTGTCTCAACAGGGACAGAAGTATTTCTATTGATGGTTCATGCATCACCGTACATTCCCCCTTGCCATTCTAAAAATAGCATATATCTGGTCCAGGAAGATAAACTATTTCGACTTTTGATGATCTTTGATCCTTTTGTGGCTCTCAAAAAGAAGCTTTCCAGTGTTGCAAAATTCCAAAGCAAGAGCCAAAATAAACTTCTGTTGGGCAAGCAAGTCCAAATATGACAAACCAAACCCAAAATAACATGCTTTGAGTGCATCAGAGGGATATACAACCAAGGAACTTAAACAAGTTGCTTGGCAGTATAAGAATAAGTTGATGCAGGAACGCCTGAAACTGCAAGATTAGGTCTCTGTTAACATGCGACATGTGATTGGGGTCATCTGAGGTGTTCAGATCGTCAGAATAAAAGTAAAAGGTTAGACAAGAATGACGCTGGTTTTCTAGGTTTCAAGAAAATAATCAAATTATTCCTTAGACATTGAACCTCTCTGATTAATAATTACATGTAGCATTTAGTTTTAACTCACTTTTCATTCACAAGTTTTAGATGCATTTAAATTTCTCATTAAAATAAAAACGGTCCCATAAACTTCACTGCGAATCCGTAAACATTATGGAAACCGTCTATCACATTTTATGTTTTAGTTCAGATTGTAACATTTGAACTATAAATTCAACCAAAGGAAAAATTCATTTTTATTTTAACTAAAATAAAAATAGATAATAGAGGAATGCTTAGATTTAAAGAGAATTGTCCCGCTCTCCTTAATTTGTAAAAAAAATACATTACTTTGCCCGTAAAGGAACCAGAAATTAAGCAATGAAAAAAAACATTATTTGAAATGCAAATTCCCTAACAGAATGACTCTAGATGCCACCTAGTTTAAAAATCACTGCCTCATCTGACTGTACTGTGGGGTAATAAAAAATCCAAAATAAACACCTACAAAAACTTTAAAAAGTATTTATTAAGAGTCATCACTTACTACCTCTGTCTTTAGAGATAAACATTGCTTCTATATACGTTCATTTGTGGTAAAATTTAACAAATGCTTGAAGCCTTTTATAAAGAATTTAAACCAGAACTCTAAACTTATTACCTAGAGCAGATTGTGGACCTGTTGCAGCAAGGTTTCATTAGTGAGAATAGAAAAGCTCAACTGAACATACATACACACAGTAGTACCCAACAGAGCATTAACTTTGCCCAGATTTTATTCACAGTCTATGCTATCCATCCCTGATCTAAACAAAACCAATGAAACAATTCTATCAATCAGTCACAAATTACAGAAATGTGACTTGAAAAATTCACTATATCACTATAGTCCTAATTTCCAAAAGAAATTAAACTTTTCAAACAAAGTTTAAATGGGCAGACAATATTTCACCTTCATTTCAACTGATTGAAAATAAACAGTTTTAAGAGGATTTGTCTGTTATTTTGAAGTTATTGTTTCTAATCTTGTTCTATTAGAAGCAATCATTAGTTTCTTTGCATGAATAGATTTTTAACTACATGGATTAGTTATGATAATGCCAGAATGTATTTTTATAAGTCGCCTATTTTTATAGGGACTCATAACCAATACGGGAAATAAGCGTTAATGTGAAAATGTCAGAATTAATGAGAATGAGCGATTGTCATTATGTTGAAGTCTATCTAGGATCTGCCTGGAATGGTACTCTGGGGGAAAAAAATGGATTCCTCTTGATGTCTGCTTTCCTTGGTTTAAGACCACAATTTTATTTTATTTTTTTACTATTATATTTTCAAATTAATTATTATGCAACTTTTTATTACATTAACCCGGCTACCTCTGAGTGTTCAGTCACTGTCAGTATGTTTTCTTCCACTGCTACAAAATTAACATTCATTACGTCCTGCTGTAATTCAACCCTTAGCTTTTATATCATCCAAAACTGTATCCCTCCTTTTACACGTAGCTTAAAACTTTTTCATCTGATCAGTTACAGGTATGTCAATTTTCACAAAACCTCAAACAACTCTGCAGGAGCAGCCAGTCTGTCCATTTTCTCTTGAGGTAAACTCTGCAAGGGGCAGGGGGAAAGGGGTCTCGCTTGAGCTTTTGCCTCAAGTCAGCCAAGGTTGGCGTCCCCTCCAGGCGGAAGCATAGTTGGGCTGAGTGCTGTGGTGTAGAGGGGGTCCAGTTTGGGCACGAAGCCTTTAAAATTCCTGGATGCCTCTGTTCCGAACACATCGAGCAGCTCTCGATTCATCAACGCAAATCTGAAAACAGAGACACGGAACATCCCTTAAAACACTAGAAAAACAGCCTGGGATTAAATTTATTCACCTCTAACTCATGAACTTTTAAGTGACTCAAACTAATTATTAATCCAAATAGTGAAGTGAATGTTGCTACAAACCCTCTAACACCATTAATATCTTTTCTGTTTTGTGATGTATATAGGTTTTAAAAGTGAAATATCAGATTTATCCGCCTCTTTATCCAATTTTAGAAGGATCAATAAGAAACTTGTCATCCAGATGAATCTAGATCTAAAATACAAAACTATTTTTTTCCATTTGTATTTTTTCATTTCTTTATCCCAAACTGAGAAAAAAAAAAAAAGAAAAATTCTACTTAATTTTACAGGCTGGGTGTTAAACTATATTCTTCACAAATATTATCTTGTTTAATAAGCAAAGATGATCCTTCAGTATTTTATCACACGATCATACCTGCCCTGTGTTAAACGCAGGAGGAACTTCCAGTATGAAGGTCTGAGGTTCTGCACCTCCATTACCGCCTGTGGAAATGTGATGAGTCAGACATCTTTACTCAGCAGAGAGAAAAAGGCTAAGTAAGCATATTCCTGCTGGGCGTTTTTGTGAAAATTCTTCACTTACAGCATGAAAACAGACAGCAGTGGAAACGGCGTAAATAATCGTATCTGCGTGTGGAAAGTAAGGGAACCGGCCAGCTTCAATGCCTTTGAAGTACATGGTCTGAAAAGAGAGATAACATCTGTTATCAACTGTAAAAATGGAATCTAATCTGATTTCAGATTAATTGGAGCTCACTGATCAGGTCAGCTCTAAAATCTAAAGCAAACCAGCTTAACACTTTTCTTTAAATAACTGACAGGCAAAGCAGATGTCCTCAAAATCTAAAACCTGTGCCAGTACTTAAGTGACTTTAACTGCTTTAGATATTGAACAGTTACCCGACTCAACATTAACAGATATTACCACAGATATTAACATAAAAGCAATGTTAACTAGCTTTTTGCAGGTCTAGTTTTAATATCCTTCTAATAGGCTTTACACATGAGAGGAGATATCCCTCCACCTCCGTTTATTTCTTAAGGAACCTGAAATGGGGCGACAGTTGTTTGCTCCTCCTCCTGCAAGGCCGTAGAATCAGTGATGGTTTTGCTGGCTGATCATAAATTAAAGGAGAGGTCCAACTGCAGTCTGCAACAACTTCCAATGTTGGGAAAAACAACCTTATGTTTTGCTGTGTCGAACTTCCCTATAATCATATGATTTCAGTTTGTTCCGGTAAAATCCTCTCACTCTTCTTCCTTGCTGTCTTGTCTGTTACAGGCTGCTTTGAAAAAGTCAAATTTCCAAACCATAACTACTGCATTTGAGAAAATAAATCAATTTAATCAATACTGACAATTATGAAAAAGATTTAAACCATATTTTAAATGCAGCCATTTCTAAATGCAGATAATGCTATTGCTTTATGATCTACTTATAATAAAACCAAGCATTCAATTCAGCCTAGCTTTTAGCATTCACCTCGGGTGCATGGTCGTCTGGAAAGTGATCTGTTTCTTGACATTTACTTCTTAGGTTCAATTCTCTGTATATGTGGTAAATTGAGAGGCTGAGTCAGGGCTCAACGGTAAAACTTGACCCGAGTTGTGACGTAGTGAGGCAGAGACAGCGTATCCATTTTCCATGTTGCTTTGCCCTATTTATGACTAATAAGGAAGCCTAATTTCTCTTGCTTTGAGCTGGCAGAACTTCCAGAGGATTCCTACGACCTTGTGGAGCCATGCTGGGGCCGACACAGCTCGTACTCTGCAGGTGTGAGCGGCTTAAGTGATAAACTACGTGGGTTTTGCTTCCAGAGTTTGTTTCTTACCAATTCCCTGCAAATCTGAGACGATGCTTTTTAAATTTTCTCCATTAAACTGCTTGTGTGACATCATCATCAGACATGCTCATAGTAGTTCAGCAAAATATGATTAAACCATGTTTATCTGAATTTTAGTTGTTTCTTTCTTTAGACTACGCACTATATACCTTAATGTAAACACGAAAAGAAAAAATAAACCCCAAAAATACTAGATTTATGTTTAGATCCAAAGCTGAAAAACTTAGCTCCCTGAAGTAGCATAGGATCCCATTTCAGGTACAGACAAGTGAAAAAACAGGAAGTACATTATTAACCCTTGACATATTATAGTTTAGTATGCTTACTATTTTTAAATAGGGAAAAATGTAATTGAAGTCTTTTTTACTAATTAAAATCAAGGGAGACCCAGATGTACGTACATCTGGTTGCGTATGCGCATATAAGCTAAAAGGACGGATCCGTCTACCGGTACGGATCGGTAGTGACACTGTGACATCTTTACTTGCTTTGTGTTGTTGTCTGGGCTTGCTTAAGTCTGTGTTTCTAATTGGCTAAGGGGGAATGAATGCTTGTAGCATCAAGCTACATGATAGGCTACAGTGAAAAAGGAAAAACAGTTTCCATATCAAAATTTGATCAACCTTTTTTTGTTTATCACGCACCACGCGTCTATTGATCAACATATTATTGAATTATCGTTGAATCCTAATGTGTAGTTAATATTGTTTCAATTTTAAGATGTTACACTTTTCTTGGAGCCTGTTTTTGTTTTGTTTTTTAAACGATGCTACTGCAGACTATTTCTGTTCTTGAGCTGTTATGATCATTTTCCAGCTTCCCAAGTCTCCCTCTTTGGTAATAAACATGTATTTTTATGTCACTAGGTGTATTTCTGATTCATTTACCTCCACCAGCTTAGAGAAGAGATACATGGTTATAGTTGTACTTTTGTAGAAGAACATGGAAACACCAGCCAGGAAGCCTTTAGAGACAGAAGAGGGAGGGGAAAAGGACAGCTGTGGCACATTTTCCATGAGCAAAGATGCGGTAACAGATTGCTCTGCGGGTATTTTCTTACCAGCTATCAGCGCATGGAGTTCATCGTCAATGTTACGCACCCAGCGTAACAAGCAACTTGTTCCCTTAGAAAACAGAACAGAATGTTTTTTAGATAAGATAAGACAGGACGTTCTGATGAGAGCCTGACAAAGACTGTTAACTATAAAATTGAGAACTTCTTCATAAGGAGAAATAAAATAAAGCTAAGGCAGTCACACACCTTATAAATACTGACAAAAGAGCCTAGAAAGGCCCCCAGCTGGAAGTTCTCTTTGTTGTAGAAGACAGAAGGGAGACGAGATGGTTTGGAGAACATCTGCCTGAATGCTGAGGGCACTTTGAGACAACACTGGATAAGATAGCCAATACTGAACATCCTGACAAAACCCTGTGGAGGGAATTATGATACATCTTGATTATTGACTTTTAATGTGCATACATTCAGAGCACTTCCATCATAAGAAATATTAAATAATGAGCCTGACCTTAACACAATAGGAAATGCAGTTATCCTGGTAATGTTTACAACATCTGTGTCTGGGACCCTTTTTGCATCTGAATCAGTATAAATACAAATAAATCAGTGCTTAGCGCCGCTACCCACGCATTTTTTCTACACCAAAATGTTTTTGTGTCTCACATTGATTCCAGCAGCTTCCTTGTGTAGGCTATCAGAGTTTTCTTCCTTTGGTCGGGCCTTTCTACTGGCAGCTGTGAGGGCTCTGTCTCTATGGCCGCTGGTCTCTCGGAGGGCCTAGTGCTAACAGGGTCTGCTGTGTTAGAGTGAGTTGGGATCTCCTCTTTCCCTATGATGAATCTGTGATGGATTAAAACACAGAATTAGAAACCTCTATTGGCGTCTACCTTGAAGCATAAACAAAAGCTGGTGTGACTTACTTTAAAGCAGAAAATGCAAAGCCTTTGAGGCCGTCGTTGCTCCTGAAAAAATAAAGCAAAGCAGATATCAAAATTTGAACTCTTGTAATTTCTTAGTCTTTGATATAACTGATCCAAGTAGGTCTCTACCCACAGATTTATTCAAGTAAAAAAAAAAAGATTTCAGAAGTCTCTCTAAGTAGGATCATAATCCTGATTAAATGACAGCCTAGATGACGTTTGAGGTGGACCTCCTCACTTAAAAACACGTTAAAGCTACTTTTTTCCCCCAACTCTTGAAAACAAATAAAGTCAAGCCCCTCTAAAGATTGCAAGGAAAATAACAGAGCAGCACCTTCCAGTATCCAGAGCATTCACAGCTTCTGACTAAAATGTACGTGTCCAAGTTGAGACGTTGGGTGGCTTTTTGATGCTGAAAATTCATTTGGTGTTAACACACAATTAGTCTCATTTGCTCATCCAAGCACCATTTTCCTTAATGACTTGTTGCAAACTTCAAAAGTCTTGCTTTCCACTAGGGCTGCAAGAAAGATTATTTTGCAAAACGTTTAATCTGTCGATAATTTTTTTCATCAATAATCGGATAGTCAATGTTCCTCAAAGAAGAATTTTTAGGAGATTAAACCAGGTGAAACTAAAACTTTACCACTTGAGGAGTTTTGTATAGAGCATATTGACAAACAAAAATGTTTTTTTTTGTTTTTTTTTTTGTTTATTGTAAATGCAATGTGTTGACATTTTTTTGATTATGCAATTTTGATATAATTGCTGCTCAAGGTGGGTTGGTCTGTCAGCTAAAGGCATGTTGTAAAGTCTCTAACTCCAGTTAACGATTAATCAATGACTAAATTAGTTGAGGATTATTTCAATAATTGATTAATCACGATTAATTCGATTAAATGTTTCAGCCCAACTTTTCACAAGGCCTTTTTTTCCCCACTTTCCCCGCTGTAGAACTCTGAAGCTCCTATGCAGTTATCATGGTTATTCTGATGGACTTTACGAGTTGTTTCAAGTCTCCACTTTTATTTTAACTAGTGTTGCACCGATACCGATACCAGTATCGGACGGGGCCCGGATACTGCCCTAAAATGGTGGTATCGGCGAGTACCAACAAGTAGGGCACCGATACCATTTTGAGAGCCATAAGTTTATTCAACTATTGTCACCGACTCCTGGTAGGCAATAAAAAGTTCTACTGGATTCACTTTGTATTAGATTTTCTCCTGCTTCACAAAGGTAGGCAGCAGCTTGACAAAGCCATGATGGTAATTATTTTACATTATTATGGTATCGGTATCGGTCAATACTGCACAGCCAGGTATCAGGTATCGGTATCGGGGCCAAAAAATGGCATCGGCGCAACACTAATTTTAACATAACTCTTCCCTGCTTTAAACTCCTCTTCGTGTCTATCCTAAACTTGTCTGCTATGTTCTTTGAGTTTTGATATGTTGTTTGTTCTTTTTTGTTCTCTAACAAACATCTGATGCCTTCACAGAACAGCTGTGTTTATACTAAGAATACATCTGAGAGGGGAAGCAGTTTACAAATGACCCGACAACAGGCAGCCGGCGTCACTGGATTCCCTTTAGTGGAATCTGACTACTGCAAGATGGATGACGATGTAAACTAAAAACTTTGGGAAAAAAATGTATCCTCTCCTTTCACAGATCACATAATTCAAATACGACAGATTAATTAAAACTTTTACAAGATGTGAGAACAGGTTGATGTGCATTAATATTGTTTAACAGCCTTAATTTACCCCACTGATGAACATAATGCTCTTACCTGAAGAGAAACATAAAGATTGATGCAGTTATGCAGAACAGGAGCACCTAATCAGGGACAGAATAAGAAACAGAAAAAGTTAGGGCCGCTGAAAGAAATATTGTTCAAATAATTTAAATGAGCCGTACATAATAATGTTTTTGTTTAGGGTTATTTTAAATTAATAAGATAAGACAATAACTACACCTGCTAAATAATATGAATATCTATTTACTGCAATATTCAAGTTTTCTCCATTTAAATCACAAACGACCGTTGGAAATGTCATAAGTATTGGCCAATATAGTAGCCTATAGATCATCAAATGCAGATTTCCTAATATCATGCAGCCCTTTTCAAAATAAAAGCCATTTCCATTTTGAATTTGAAAATAAGACTCATGCAGGATGCAATAAATAGATATACAACAGATTTAATCAGAAAAAAGCATGACTACCCAGCAGAATGGCTTCCCTCAGCCCCTTCTGATCTTACCTCTCCGTGTCTAATGGGTTTAACTAAACCTCTTGTCACTGCCATGCGGAACAAAGTCTCACTAGCCTAGAAAAAAAGACGACGGAAATCAGGTTTATTGCTTTTCATGAAACAAGGTGATTTGCAGTTGAACAGAGATATCTTACTAGATTTGCCATGTATATTGTCAGCAGACCTCTCCTGGTGGGAGGAAAAGAAGGTAAAAAAAAATGGGCATTTTATTTTCTCTCCAGGGCAAAAAATTGGCAATAGGACAAAAATCGAACCTGCTTTTACGCTCCAGGAGAATGGCAATGTAGGAGGCAGGCAAAGCTGCCCCAAATCCAGACGACCATGGATAAAACCCTCCAAACAATTTCCTAAAATTACACAAACACAATCAGCCTTCAAAAAATCCATAAGCGCAGTTTTTTAGGCAAATGCATTTATACCGTAAGCTCTTCAAAGAAAGTCCAAAAAAATCTTGTGGTTTGATTGGTGTCTAATATCACACTTTGTGTAAAGCTAAATCCACCTTACACAAAGATGTGAGTGTAATTATGCAGGAAGTGCTTCAGCTCATGAGAGCAGCTCAGGATTCAACCGTAACACAGTCTGTAACTGATGCATATTGTCACTCAGGATTTTGTAGGTGACCTATGTTTGAAGTACATAAGAGCCTAAGAAGGGATTCTAAACTACTAATACTGGAATGCTACTTATAATACCAAGGCTTAAGTCATTTAAATTATTAAACTGCTTCATTCATAAAACAAAAGAATAAAAATTATTGTAACTGTAATTAGAAATGTTTGTCTGCTTAGATAATAATCTAAGAATAAAAGATACCTAGATTTATCTTCAGATTAAAACTGTTAAAAGGTCATTTAGCTTTCATCAGAATTTGCAGCATTTGTTATAATAAAACAAATCCGTAGGTAAGTTTGCCATTTTTTTTTAATGACAAACCTGAGAATGCAGAAGAAAACAATGAAGAGACTTCCATTGGTAGTTAGGAAAGAGGTAGACCACAGAATCTCAGGCAGAAGTCTCTTTAAATAATAATCCTTCTTCTTCCTCCGTAGAACTGCTGCTATCTGGAACGTAAAAATAAGAAGAAGTAGACTTTAAGTAACAAGGATCAATCTATATACTGAGCACCAAAAGCATTTTATTTGGCATTTACGCTCAATGGTTTAGCATTACTCTGAAATGGAAAGTCAAATAGTGCTACAGAAATATGTCAGTGTTGAAATCAAGCTGAACTTTATTGGCTATTTAAAATCATATCAAGATAATTTCATTTATGCAGTGTTATATAATCATTTCATTTTTCCATGTAAAGCTGCAACACATTTAACAACTACAACTAAACTCTGTTTTACTGCAAACTTTACAAATATTTATCCACTAGGGCTATATGATTTAAACAAAAAGTAACATTTAAAATTATTTTTTATTTTTTACCAGCGCCGTGTAGAGCTGTAATTATATTTTAGTTTTCCTTTCACTAACAAAAGGCATATACATGTTTCCAAAGTCCAGTGTCATGGCTAAAGGTGCTTACTTTTGGCTCCCATGTGCAGTCAACTCTATTAAAAAGTGCTATATATACATTTTACATTTCCATTACAAAACAATTATTGCAGCTTGGAGAAATGACTGATGCAAATACTGAGCTGATACGATATTTGCATGCATCATACTTTTATTATTTATTTTGTAGTAAGGAATGTTAGAAAATCATTATACTTTCTTAATCCCAAAAGGGGAATTACATCTTGTATTGATTATAATATAATTATATAGATATTACTCAATAGAGAACAATAGTCATTGAAGATAAGGATGAAAACAACTGACTCATGCAATATTAACTAGCTGGTTAAATAAACTGTAGACAGAAGCTGAGTGTTTCTATCAACAGGCCAAAGTGGCAAATTTTAGATGCAGACCATTATAATCAAGATAATTGTTTGTTTGTTTTTTCCTGATATTAGACTGCTATCCGATGGCGATATAAGATTGGGACAACCATAAATGTGTGTGCTTGGAGGACAACAGCTTGAGCTATTCAAGGTTTCAAACTTGTGGAAACAAATGTCTTTGTAATTTTTTTAAACAGCAGAAACAACATTGAGAATTGCATAAACTAAATGGTCAGGGCATAGAGCAGGGGTGTCAAAGTGGTTCCAGAAAGGGCCATGTGGCTGCTGGTTTTTTTTTCCACCCAAGCAGTAGCACACCAGACTCCATTCATCCCATCAAGTCATCAGTTTAAGACTAGACTCACCTTGATGTGATGAATGGAGTCTGGTGTGGTACTGCTTGGGTGGAAAGAAAACCAGCAGCCACACGGCCCTTTCTGGAACTAGTTTGACAACTGTGGCATAGAGCTTGGAATCCTGAGGTTCTGAGTTCGAGCCCCACTCCCACAGACTGCCAGTATCAGTTCTGAGCAAAGACCCTTAACCCCACACTGCTCCCTGGGTGCCCCATGATGGCAGCCCACTGCTCCCCAAGGGGGTTAAATGCAGAGGTAAATTTGTCCAATTTGAGGTCAATAAAGTTCAATTATTATTAGAATAAACTTGACCATCAAATGCCAGAGACATAGCCCGCGTGACCAGAGTTTTCTCTGGTTGTTTCCAGTATAACAGTGCTACCCAATCTGTTAACAACTGGCTAAAAGAAAACTGACTCATTTATATATTTCCTTAAAGCTTTTTGGAAAAATTATCACCAAAAATACACAATTGCAACGTGACAACTAAGGAAACGCCAACGGAACGCCACAATTAAATCAGAATTGTAGCTTGAACCTAGATGGTTGTGTTATATGTCGCCTTACATTACAAATAATAAAAAGAAATAACAATATGCAACTTAATTCTAGAAAAAAAAAAATTACAAATTAGTGGGCATCCTTCTTCTATATCTTTTTTCTTAAGTCAAACACAAATTTTCAAAGTTTACAAATGTGCTTTATAGCAAAAAGATCAATTATTTTTTGTAGTAATTTAAAGCTATTTTCTTCTACATTTTAGTGCAAATAAAAGCTGATGTTATCATATAGACAAGAGGCAGGGAAAGCCAGTTATTCCTGCTGTCAGATCACATATTTACTAACTATATAGTTGTACTTTGTCCTGAACAGACAAATATGGTAGTTCTAATTTTATGGGTGCTTACTTGAAAGTGACCTTGCACTTTACAACCCCTAGTTGAACCAAAGTTTTGATTGGTTAAAAAAAAAAGTTAAAAACTTTGCTTTGAAATTCATCCAAACAAAGAGACACAATTTTAAAGCAAAAGGCTAACAGTTTTATCCTCTACAGGTAAAAATGTACCCTGTGGTTCAATGGCAGACTGTGTGGGAAAGAAATGCCATATAATTAAAGCCACTGAGATATAAATGCACTATAAGCACATCTTTACCAACCGGCTGAGTCATGTCACGGCTGAGAAGATCAGCAGATAATGCCAGTTAAAGAGAAAGTAGTACTACTGGATGTAATGAAGAACTCATTGTATCCAATGTAGCTGAGCCATTTTCCAGTGTCCGCTAAAACCGTTAAAGACTTTTCAAGGCTTACTCCGAAATAACACTAAACTTTCCTCCTGTTCACCTTCTGCAAAGCACAAACCCGAATTAACAGGAGCTTTCCGTTTGTCCACAACTTGGAGCAGAGTTGTAGCATTAGCTAATCTTTATTGGTTTTCTTACTGGATTAGCTAGACAACTTTACTTAGCATTAGAGTATACTGACAGACACCCAAGCCACCTTACCAGGTAAAGAGGGGCGTATATTTTGAAGGAAACCTCCAGAGCCCCCCTGGTTATATCTGCGGCAGCTTGTACGCACGATGGGTGCCAGGTATGTCCGACCTCATAGCAGCTGTGCGGTATCTTACTTAAAGCAGCCATGACTGTGTGGCTGAATCGAAACACTCTGCAGCAAGGGGCGGCGGCGGCGGGGGTGCGCGCTCACGAGAGCACTGGGCCCTGCGCCGTTCGTGCACGTACGCTGCGTTCAAAGTACCCCGGAAATTAGAGTGTAGTAGTCAGGCCTTCGAAAAGTGCATGAATTAACTAAGGTTGAATTGAGAGATTTATTTATTTACGTATTTACTTATTTGTCACATTTTTGTTTTACAGCAAAAATATAAAGAAAAATATATAATTTTTTCTTCAGAAATGAAAGTTTACATTTAACAAAATAAAAGAGAACAGCTCAAACTAGCCTTCTACAGTGGACTATTTCCTCTAAGCCGGAGATCTTCAACAGGGGGTTTGTGACCCCTAGGGGGTCCACGGAGCTACTGCGTGGGGGTCGTGAAAGTTTTGGTTAATTAGACTTCCCCACTGCAAATTTTTCCACTAATTGAAATGTTTTTAAATACACATTAAAGGAATAGTACACCCAAAACATGATTAGCCTTAATTTTCTACTCACCCCCATGCTGAACAACACCCTGGAGTACTTTTTTGATATCTCAAATGCATCTGGAGATCTGGGAGGCTTCTTGCTGTCTGCTGACATTCAAATAATGGAGGTCTATGGTGCCCGAGACAGAAAGGTCCATAAAAGTCCACAAAAAATGTGTCAATATTCCTCCATACTGCTCGTCCAATGTATTCCAAGTGTCCTGAGTGGGTAGCATCCAGAATTTACTTGAAACGAAGTCATTTAGAATGTTTTTAGAGCATAAACAGTAGTGTATAGGATTTCCTGAAAGCGCGCACATGCGCGTTATCGACGCTACGGAAGCGTCTTGGGTGTTTTGGGTGTACTATTCATTTAACATGAATTCAACACACTGTAGTAAACAGATAAATGGAGGCAGAAAATGTCTTTCAGTCATCAATGCAACGGCGACACAGCTCTTTCAAGCTGGGCACCGTTTCATTCACAACACCTGTCCCATCAATGAGGAATCAGAATCAGAAATACTTTAATAATCCCAGGGAGAAATTACTTTCTTTACATTACCCCATCTGTAATACGGTGACCAAAGGACCAGTTTGATTTAACACAATTTCAAACAGCGCTACATCTCACCATCAGTTCAGGGGTCCTTGGCCTGGAAAATGTTGAAGACCCCTGCTGTAAGCTGAAACATTTAAATATCTACTGTCCCTACATGCTCATCTATGTGGAGCCTGCAAGTCAGTGATGGATGCAATCAGCTGGTTTTCCTTAGATAAAAACTATTGTACAATCTATCAGATTTGATTGAACTGTTTTTCTTAAGTACCTGGTGATGACATGTTGTGAAAAGTATTTATATAAATACAAGAATTGAACTGGAATGACAGAATGTTATGGTTCTTCCCATTTGTTGTGACTGAGTTTTCAGTTTTCTGTTATTAGTTGTTTTGACTTGATTTCCTATCATATTCAAGCATTCTTTAGTTACTCTCTGTTGCCCCCTTGTGCTTGTTTTCTTTCCCCTTGGCCAGTTCCACCCTAACCTGCTCCTTATTCAGCTCATTAGTCCATCCTTTGTTCTGTTCTACTCAAATACTCCACCACTGCAGTCACTCAGTGCTGGTTCCTTATCATTGCTGAATTTGTCTTCTCAGCTCGTCTCTTTCTGGCTCCTCAGGCTTGTTTTCCCCTGATGTCTCCATGGTTTTTGGTTTGTTTAAAATTTTAGTTGGATTTCTGGATTGCTACCTCAGTTTCCCGTGTTCTTCAATTAAATCTGTCAGAACTCATCTCAGCTTCACTCGTCTCTGCATCTGGGTCCTCAAGCAACCTCACCACCCATTGTTGACACAGAAAGCTAATTAAAGGAGGTTATGTGTATTTTTCACTCAGCCCACCTATATGGTATGTTTAAGAATTTTTAAAATACAAATGAGTTAATTCCTTATTTTCTAGATATTGCCAATGTTGTGAAAAATCTCACTTTATAAATTATTAGGGAGCTATTCCTTTAAGCTTTATTTCCGTTTTGATTTTTGCTGTTCATTAATCAGTAGCTATTATACATTAATAGCTGTTAAAAATAGGCTCTTTGAATGCACCCTGATGCTCTATCTCTATGGTTCTTTTCCCTGAAAAGAGATCAATCGGTACAAACTCTTTAAATAACACTTCATAACATATGTATTAAATAACCAGGAGACATGACAACAGATTTTGATAGAAATTGTAATCCTACTCTAATCAGAGAAATTGCTTAGGGTTACAGAATGGCAGCTTTTCACCTCCGGGATCAGCTCTCAGGAAGTGGCCCCAATTAACAGTTAAAAAGGCATTTTATACATCTCCAATCTGCCACATCATCATATTTTACATCATACACATTAGCAGATGATTAGACATCCATGGCTCCAGCCTTATCAAAATAGGACACTGCTGTCATTCCATTTCCAAATTTTTGCCATGTACAAAATGAAGATTATAACTGTATATCCAGACAGAGGAATTGTCCTAATTAGATTAAAACATCAGTTCTTACGCGCAACAGGCAGCCCATAACAGGGTGTGATAAACTCACACATCTTCAATGATAATTATCCTAACATAGCATAAGACAATGAGCAATTCAATGAGCTTACAGAGGCATAGCATAAACTGATAGATGTGTACATTTTTCTACATTTTGTCATAAATGTTATATAAAACTATACCTTAGGTCAAACTAAAGGTTGGAGCAACAGATATTTTTTTCAAAATCTGTAATAGTGTAAGGGTAAGTCTGAAACTCATCAAAAGCCCTTTTAGCATTTTAAATAGTCTTAAATTTAGAATCTGTAGAGGCCAACTAGGCGGACCTTTGATATATTCAGGTGTTTCTTGAGAAAAGGAGGAAATGGTCATAGGACAAAGAGCGAAACAATATGAGCTTCCAACACGCAGAGACACTGAGTTAGTAAAAGTCTACAGATTAGATAGTGCACTATCTGGTTTGCTGCAGGCCTTGCTAGTGAGGAGTGTGCAAGTCTGATATATCAAACCCGACAGCTTCAACATTTCACGTTGTTACTATCAGGAAAGCTATGCTAACCTATATGGCTAAGCTATTTTATTTGACAACTGATTAAATACAGGCAGGAATTTGATTACATTTTATTCAGTCACAGCCTTTAATGCACAAAGTGAGCACCTGACATTTAAAAAGAAATGCCAGTAATCCCTGTATTGAAAGAGTGAGTCTTTTTTGTCTATATAAGATGCATCAGTCAAAAAAAACCAGACCAGTAAAGCATGGACAAGTGTATTTATAAAATAAACTGGCTTTGATATGGCTTTTATCATAATATCCTTGAAGAAATTTTGTTGTTTATTGGTAGATGGGTGTATCTTGATCCTGACTTGTTTATCACACTCCCTGTGTAAGAGAAAACAATACAGTTTTTACTCAGACGTTGGTCAAGTTTAGGCAATCAGCTTTTTTTGTAGCTGGTCTTAAAATATAAAAGTGAGAAACATCTGAAATATTTAAATTAATTTTGCATTATGTTTTCTTGCATTTGCTATTAAAAAAAAAGTCTTCAAAGAAATTCCACTTTGTATTGATTGATTGACTTTATTGATCTCAGAGTGGCGAAATGTACTTGTTACATTGGTTCAATAGTCAAAAAGAAGAAGAAGGTTCCAAAAGGAAGAAAAGGTGCATGGGGTATATGCAGTATATACGGTGTGTTCACATATATATAGGACAGCTAAGGTCTCTTATTTAGCAGGATTATTATACAGGGTTATTGCGCAATGTATTAACTTGGGTATTTATATTTGTAGCTATTGCATTGGGTATCAAATGTAAAAAAAAAAATAACAGGTTATTGCACAGGGTATTAAATAGTAATTGCACATCATACATTGCACAAGTTATTACTGTTTTAGTGTTGCATTATGGAGTCTGATGGCAGCAGGCATGAATGACATGTGGTAGTGCTTCTTTTTACAAACAGGGTGTAAGATTCTTTCACAAAAGGAGCTGCTCAGCTCCTCTACAATCTGGTGCAGGGGTTGAAAGGTGTTTTCCATGATGGATGTAAGCTTGGACAGCACCCTCCTCACAGCCACTTCCTCCACTGAGTCCAGAGTGCAGCCTAAGACAGAAGTAGATTAGTTTTATGAGTTCCTATCTGATTTGGTGTTAAATAATGACAGGGTCATCATAGTGGACGATTTTAACAACCATGCTCACATTGAAGGTGATAGCTAAAGTGCAGCCTTTAATGCTATCTTAGACGCTATTGACTTTGTTCAAAATGTGAATAGTCCCACACATTCTCATCGTTGTACTTTGGACCTTGGGCTGGCATATGGCATAGAATGTGAAGAAATAACCTATATCCTCACAACCCTGTCCTCTCTGACCACTTTTTAATAACTTTCAGGATTACTTTAACATAGTTCTCTTCCCCCAAAAGAAGGTTTCACTTTAGCAGATCCTTATCAGATAGTGCAGTTATAAATTTCAAAGAATCAGTTTCATCTTCTCTCTCCTCCGTGTCGCTGAGCAGTGCTGCAGAGAGCAAAGGTTTAGTTTATTCCCCTTCACAGGTTGATTATTTTGTGATGGGGTTGCTAATTATCAGCGTACTGCCTTAGACAATGCAGTCCCTTTGAAAAAAAAGACTTTAAAAATAGATAACTAGGTCCCTTGTTAAATGCAGAGCCGTGCACTCTGACGCAAAATGCTAGGAAACTCCACATGCCTACGGAATCCTACCTAGTCTGGTAAAAAGTTTACTGCTGTGTAAGAGTACCCATTGTAAAGCAATAGCAGCATATTTCTCCTCATTAATAAGATAATAATAAGAATAATCCTAGATTTCTTTTTAATACAGTTGCCAAAGAGAGCTATAGCTCTGTTGAACCTTCCATCCCACCTGCTCTTAACAGTAATGATTTTATGGGATTCTTTACAAATAAGATTGATCTTATTAAAAATAAGATAATAAGCACTCCTCTAACTATGATTGGTTTATCTCTGGAAGGTGAGGCAGCATCTGAGGTA